TCCCAATTTTTGTATATCTAGTTGTTCTGTTGTTTATTCCTGTCTGTCTCTCCTGTTTATTTGAATTCTGCATCTGTATTTTATCTGTACTAGGAGATGATCAGATCCGCAGCATGGATCTTCGGCTCTTTACATCTTGTATGCTTGTTGCGATCTTTTGTCTATCAAGACATAATCAATTTGGTGGGCGGTTGTTTCTTCTTCTTCTAGTTCCATGACCGTTATCGATCGTTGGATATCATGTTGGCTACCATATTCGCTATCGTGACTTTATTGACAGCAGCTCTAAATAACGATGTAGTTGATTTTCCATACCATTGCCTTAGATTTTTCAGCCATGATGTTCTTCTTCTACCAGGACCACGATTACCTTGGATCTTTCCCTGAATGATCAGATGTAAAAGATCATATTTTTCAGGGTGTCTCATAATATGACCGAAGTATTCCAGCTTGCGTTTCTTTATTATATTGACCAGTTGTGTTGTTTAGTTCAGCCGTCTAAGGACCTCCTCATTTCTAACTCTGTCGACCCAGCTTATTTTCAGTAGTCGTCTGTATACCCACATCTCAAAGGCTGTTAAGCGTTTAAGCATAGCCTCAGTTAGGGTCCACGCTTCTACTCCATACAGCAGGACAGGAAAGATGTAGCAAGATATCATACGAACTCTAAGGTCAATGCTAAGATTGTGACTGCAAAGTACGTTTCTCATTTTTACAAAGGCAGCTCGGGCTTGTTCTATTCGGCTTTTAATTTCTGCGGTTGGATCCCAGCTCTCATTGATATTACTGCCGAGATACACGAGTTTCTCTACTCTGTCCAGTGTGGCATCTCCGACTTTTATACCGTCATCATGTATATAATTTTGTTTGCTAACTATCATATATTTAGTTTTCTTAACGTTGAGTTTTAATCCATACTGATCACAAGTCTGTTTTATTTTGTTCATTAGATTTTGAAGGTCTTCTCCGCAATTGGCAAGGACTAAGGTATCGTCGGCATATCTAATATTGTTGACGGTTACTCCATTCACAATAATACCTTCGGTTGTCTCCATTAAGGCTTCCTTAAATATTTCCTCCGAATATAAGTTAAAAAGTAAAGGCGACAATATACAGCCTTGTCTCACTCCTCTTTTTATATTTATTTCATCCGACAGTTCTTGTTCAACCTTTATTCTTGCCACTTGATGCCAGTATAGATTTGTAATTATTCGTAGATCTTTATCGTCCAATCTAGCTGTTTAAAATATTTCTAGCATTTTGTTATGTCGGACTTTGTCAAAAGCTTTTTCAAAATCGATTGCACAAATATACACATTTTGATTTATATCTCTGCATCTCTGTACTAGCACCTGTATACTAAACTAGGCTTCTCTTGTACCGAAGCCACTCCTTAACCCAAATTGAGTATTGCTAATTCTGTCCTCTAACAGCGTGTAAATTCTGCTGTGTATTACTCGCAGAAAGATTTTCAAAACGTGACTCATCAGACTTATTGTCCGATAATCACCGCATGTCTTTGGACGATGTTTCTTAGGTATTGTGACAAATGTCGACTTTAACCAATCAGTTGGTAATATCCCACTGTCATAAATTCTGTTAAAGAGATTACACAGAGCTTTAATTCCATTTTCTCCCAAAAACTTTAGTATTTCAGCACTTACTTCATCGGAGCCAAGTGCTTTTCCATTTTTTGCCGTTTGTATTGAACGTCTTACCTCACTTTCTGTTATAGATGGACCTGATATAGCAATCGGTGTATAGTGTTCTACTCTCTCATCTTCAAATAATTCAGAAATGTAGTTTTACCATTCTTTTAACTTTTCATTGATGTCTAATATTCTGTGTCCGTTTCTGTCTTCTAAACTTTGGGATACTTGTTTCCATTTGTTTCCAGCGACCTCTTTCAATTTCTTGTGCAGATGAAATGTATCGTGTTTCTTTTCATATTGTTGAATTTCATTACATTCTTTACTATGAAATTGTGTTTTCGCGTGTCTTATCTTCTGCCTAATTATTGCGTGGATCCTCTTGTATTCGTTTTTACCTTTATTTCTGACTTCTCTTCTTTGATCCATAAGTCTCAGTATTTCTTCTGTCATCCACCCTTGTTTTTTTCTTGCTTTTAGCGCACTCAATTTTGTTTCTTGAACAGTCTTTAAGATGTCTTTAATTCTCGTCCAGTTTTCCTCAGTACTTTCTTCTTTGCTTGATGTTAACTTCATCTTTTGTTCTAATATACTAGTTATTTCTTGTTTTACAGTATCATTTAGCATCGTTTCTCTATCAATAGTAACTGTTTGCTTATTCGTCCTTGCAACTCTTTTTAATCTCAGTCTTCACCACTCTCAGTGTTTCACCAAGCATAATCCATGTCACTTTGTGTCTGATGTCTACCAGTTTTATATTTGCCAAAGTTTTCTTGCACTGTTCTAAATAAATTATATTACCTAGTAGTTTGTTTCATTTTATTCAATACTTCATCGAAAAATATTTTGCACCAATAAACATACCTATTATATAACCCACCATCAGTTTTGGAAGCAATTATTAAAAGATACTGTGACTACACAAGTTTTTTATAAACAGGTGACTGAATACGATAAATATTAAATATTATGTTAAAATATTTGTTGCTCTTGTTGAGTAAATGACAGGGAAAGTATTACGGTATGTCATCCATATTAAGAATCCTGCTGGTAGTAGCTAATAATATATTTTACTACCATTATAACGGAAACCGTAATGAGAATATTAATTAGGTTAATAGAAAGAACCGTTACCTAAGATTTTCGGTAAAAATAAGTTTAACTTAAGGTAAGCTTAACTAACGTATGTTGTGACAAATTGAAAAACTAGTTTTTATTTAAATTATTTAAAAATAAGATCACGGTCTAGATACTGGATTATAAACAAAATGCATAGATAAACATACCAGGGCATATCATAATATTATCACATTCACCCTACTTCAAATAATAATAATTTTAAAAACTAAGTTACAACAAAATAACATTCTTAATTAAAAAATAACGAGATTTTATTTTAAATGTAGAATTTATCAAACTGATAACAGACCATGGCCTTGAATGAAACAACATTTGCTTAAGTCTTGCCCCATCTTCTCTTGATCTATATTTATATCAATTACCCGAATTGTTTTCAAAATTCACATTCATCTCAGCTATCGCAATACAAATTATCAATGACTCGCGTGTACTTGCCGCAATTAATTCTATGATAACCAAAGAGGAAACGATCTTATTACCTTTCTGTTGTAAAGTACTAACAGGATTGCAGTCTAGTCTCTTATCTTCTTCTTATGGCGCCGTTTCCTTTCGAAAGTTGGCGATCCAAATGGCCATTGTAGTTTTTGACCACCTCCTTAGGTCTTTCAGCTACGAGTCCTGGCGTCTTTCTACTGATCTTTTGCCTTGTACTTTTCCTTCTAGTATAACTTGAAGTAATTCTTATCTTTTGCCTCTCAAAACATGACCCAAGTATTACATTTTCCTCTCTTTGATTATTCTTAGTATTTCTTTTTGTTTACACATGCGACGAAGTACCTCAACATTAGTAACTCTTTGTACCCATGGAATTCTCAACATTCCACTGTATATATACATCTCAAAGGCATCTATTCTTTTTTCCATTTTTAGAGTCTATTGTCTAACTTTCACAGCCATATATTAAGACAGAAAAAACGTAACATCTGATCATTCGGATTCTAAAATGCAATCTAAGGTCTGATCTAGTAAAAAATGTTTTCATGCTCATGAATGTTTTCCTTGCTTACTCGATTCTTGATAGGATTCCTTTTTTTGGATTACACTTATTAATATTTACTTTCAAATATTTTATGGAATTTATACAGTAGCATTACTAAGAGGGAAGGCCTGAGACGGAGAGCCGAGGCAAATCGACTAAATTTAAGCCAATCTGCTGTATCCCGAGTGTATCGTCGCTATCAAGATAACGACTGAGACTAACAGTCCCAGTCGTTATCTTAGTCTCAGTCTAACAGTCTCAGTCGTTAGAATAACAGAATGAGACTTATGCAGCCAACTTGATACCAAAAAGGGCCGCTAGGGGTCCCAATCTAACTGCAGCCCAGAAGCAAAGGCAATTCGAATTTGCTCGCCAACATCTGGATTGGGATGACTATCAATGAAGTCAGGTATTATTCTCCGACAGAAGAAGTAGGATCTAGCTACATGGCAACGGCAAGAGGCGTCGAGTCTATAGAAGACCAGGAGAGCGATTTGCCCAATGTTGTATACCAGAAATTGTGTAGAATGACCAATAAAGAGACATGAAAATAATACTATATAAAAATAAACAACTAAGAGTTGTTTATTTGTATATATTATTATTTTAATTTCTCTAGTTACAAAATAAACAAATAATACAAATTTACCACAAAATAACGAAGAGAAGAAGATCAATATTTCACTTACCTGTACATAAATCTCTTGATAAATCTGCCACCCTTAAATCCTGCGGCAAATGTTCGTTTACCCAATTTCTGAAGGTATTAGCTTGTATATCCACCCAGAGATCCTCGTTGCCTTTGATCTGCATACCACGCGCTGCATGGCCTTCAGGGCTTCGAGCCAAGAGACCACTGTGCGATATTTTTCCTTCCATTTTCCTATCTTCTACTTGTTTTGGCACTTGACATCACTGAAACAAGATAATATTATGATTACATTGATACAAAAACCAACTTTTTCTTCACATGTTTTAGAGAAAGAGATTACAAATATTGTAAGCTAGTCTGGCTAAAATCAAAAGAGAATTTTTTAAATAGAAATATTGACGAAACAAGTAGCAGCTGGACAGACTGCTTAATAAAGAGTCATAGCAAAATTACTAGAGGACACAGTGTCAGTTCATGTAGTTAGATGCTATCCGTAGTAAAGAGTCTTCTCTCTTGTATAATCGGTTAATGGACAAGAAAAACAACAATAATGTGTGTATCAGTGGTATGATGACCAACGTTGGAGCAAAAAGTACCATCCTTAAATTAAACAAGAGACAAAGATTTGATGTCCTTGAAAATACAGGGGCTATGATTAGAACACTAACAGTAGTTATACAAAGTTGTGTTATGCTCCTTAAATCGGTCTAGATGAGAATAAAAGAAAAGCTTTCTATGATAAAAATCACAGAGAAGTCATATCATCACTCCAAAATCATTCTCTTGTCAGTATAAGTAGAAAAATTCTTCTTTATTTCCTGCGTAAATATCTAGACATCAAACGAAAGAGCCATTTGTTTATTATAAACAGTCTCCAAAATGTTTACTTTTTCGGTTTTTATGATATACGGGGTGAAACTAAAATGCTAAACTCTTACAGAAAAATTAATTTTTTTAAATTAAAGGAAAGCCACACATACAAATTAAAAAGGTGAAATCCATATGAAAACTGTCATTTTTTCAAAGCCTACAAGTACTGTTTTACCATTGTTAACTTATAATTGATATTTTACTTATTAATAATTACTCCTCACAATCGACAATTATGAATGTTTTACTAAAAACTTGTTGGAGTAGAATGCTATTGATATCAAATTAATCTAAAAAATATTACATTTATTGAAAATTGTTTTGATTTATGTGTTGCCTTAGTTATTTATTGACTAGGAATAATTTTGTTGTATTATTACATAATACCATTATTTCTATATACAAAAATTAAAGATATTCCCGAAATTTGAAGAAAACTAAAAATATCTCGGAAATCAATGCATTTAGGAGTAGGTATACTTAAATGCAATCTATTGAAATAATAAAATATAGAAATATGAAAATATGAGAAAATCGTAACTTTCTTTTGTAGTTCATGCTGTATACGAATATATGTCAATGATATCTGGTGAACTTGATTTGAAAACTAAAACATATTGTTTACCTTATGATGTAAAATGAATACTTTTTTATTTATTGCTTCTTTATATACAGTGTGTTTGTTTCACATCGAATTACAAATAAAAATGGTCATAACTCGTTAAATAGAATGTATCAAACCCCATATTGTAAGAACAGTGACAATGAGACGCATCTAAATATGAGAAAATGGACAGGGTGTCTTATTTAGAAAAAGTGAAGAAGAAGGGAGAAGTAACCAAAGCTAGCAGAATGGATATGGTATACAATGCGCGAAAGTAGGAACTGAACAGGAAGATCCGAGCCGAGAAGAATAGGCACTGGAGAGAACTGTGTGACAAGTTGGATGACGTTTGGGGTCAGGGGTACGAAATCGTAATGAACCAGTTTAAGCTGTACCCTCTATATGAGATGCCACTGGACAGGAAGCTTGAGGTTACCGAGAGGTATTTCCACCCGGCCATTAGCATGGAGTGCAGTGGGACGCCGAAGCTGAGCGAGCTGTACCTTTTACCGTAGACGAACTCAACAAAGTGTTAAGTGCCCTAAAGACACGAAAGGCTCCGGGACTTGACGGAATACCACCAGAAGCGGTGAAACGCATTGGCAGTATGGAGATGATGTGGCTTTTGGACCACATGAATCTACTGTTTGAAACTCATCAATTTCCGGCAAATTGGAAAATCTCGAGGCTCGTGCTACTCCCAAAGGGGGAAGAGGAGTATGGACCTGTTTAAATTATACAAGAGGCTATTAAGAGGGCGAATAGACAAAGTGATTGAAGAGTCAGGCGGGCTGTCACCCAGGCAATACGGTTTTTGAAAGAACAGAAGCACGGTGGTTGCGCGGATGGAAGAGGTTGGCAATCCTACTGTTGTTTGATGTCCGGAATGCTTTCAACACATTAAAATGGAAAAAAGTAATGAAGACTCTACGAGAGAGCAGGTGTCCGAGGTACTTGATGAATTTGGTCTCCGACTATTTGTCACAGAGGAAAATTGTGGTAGAAAAGGAGTAGTGGTTGACGTGACGGCTGGAGTCCGCAGGGGTCGGTCCTAAGAAACACGCTGTCAAACTTGGCATATGATGTGGTTGTGAGCCAACAATACGGAGAGGGTGTTCGCAATTCGCATTTGCGGGCGACCTCGCCATGCTGGTAGTGGCGCGGGATAGGGAGGACCTTATCTTTGGTGCACAGCCTACATGCAACCAAGTTGAGGAATCGATGAAAATACATGAGCTAGAACTGGCTGCGGGTAAGACCAAGGCTATAAGTCTCAAGGGACCAAGGAAAAGGGACGGGATAACATTTGAATGTGCAGGAAAGAGAGTGGTTCCAAAAAAATGCGTGAGGTATTTAGGCATGACTCTTCATTCTGTTCGCTCTGTGCAATCGATCGCCCGCTACGCTGCGTCTGTCTGGAGTTCTGCAGTTTAAACAAAGGCGTACAGAGAATAGCTCACGCGAGCAGATAGGAAGAGTCTATTGAGTGTGGCGTGTGCATACGGAACAATCTCTTCCGAGGCGTTAGGAGTTATCACTGGGTGAATTCCGATGCACGTGCTAGTGAAGGAAAGAGGAAAAATATTTTAAACAGAATGCTTAAAAAAAGAAGAACGGGAAAGGTCCATAATGGTTTGGAAAGAGGAATGAGATGAGATGAGAAGGGTGGCGCAGTGGACGAAGTCATTGATTTCTAATCTGAGATGATGGATGGATTGCGGGCACCAGCGTTTGGATTATTTCCTGACGCAGATGCGCACAGGACATGGTTGCTTCAGTGCATACCTTTACAGATTTGGAAAGGCAGAAAATGACAAATGCATGTATTGTGAAATATCGGATATTGTCTCACACACTCTATTGGTATGCGATAGGTGGATAGTTTAAAGGAGCCTGCTTTAGAGATAGCTAGGAAGTAGGGTGCAATCAGTCACGGAACTGGCGAAGGAGATGCTTAGGTTGTCAGATATATAGAGCAGTTCAGAGATATGTGAGGAAAACATTTTAAAGAAAGAAACAAGAAGAAAGACGACCCGAAGGTAGGCAGGGTGCCCAGGAGCAAGCAAGAAGATGAGGCAGAATGAGAAGGGGTGAGTTTTAACACGAATAAGGAGGAATAGAGGAAGAGAATGATTCCGTCATAGGGAGAGAGTACTAGAATTCGTGAGAATTGTGCGTGAATAAAATATCGGGTGAATGCCGTGCCGAGGTTGCGTCCCAATCAGGGCGATCCGGCCGGTAATTCACCGCTGAGGAGGGTGTTTTTTTTTTAGCAGGTAGGTCTATGGCATTGACGGCGATGGTGTCCGAACAACCCTAGCACGCGGCTTCGGATATCATCGTGGCCACGCTGGAGGAGTCCTGCATAAACGAGGCTGGAAGGCGGTTCTGCCCACCTTTTAGGACCGAGGTATGTTTCGAACATTTGGATCACCCCCCTCATAAAAGAAGAAAAAAAATGTGTCTTTTTTTAAAAAATGTATGTTTGCTTTACCACGTACCTTACTATTAAACACCTTATAGACTTCGGCATTTTATTCGAGCCTGAAGAATATGATTGCCAACATTATTTTTTAAATACTTTTTTTGCATATTCTGTACCATAATGGAATTATCAATCAATGTCGCACTAAAAGCTCACCCTCTATAAGCACTGCACTATATCTCTCAAGTAATAAGTACCTAAATTAATGAATTAACAGCATAAATACGCATTGAAAAGACATTTCTTCCCGTTGCCCACAAACAAACGGTGCTGCTGTTCAAAAAGAAAACCGGGTTACTCGTTTCATCGCTAATTGAACTCACTTGTAAAATGTCAAAACAAGTAGTAGTTCTGTGTAGATGTGATTAGAGCCAACCTTTTAACACTTCCTAAACAATACTCAAAGGAAATAATAATTGCATGATTATTTCGTTATTTTTCCTCGAAAACTAAATTAATTAAATAATCTAAATAGATAATTTTCAATATTATGTATGTTTATATTGAATGAAAATTATATTTTTAATTGCTGTTTGACGTTTCGAACTACACTCCGAAAATCGTTTTTAAAAAATTGTGAGCTGTGTAAAACCGAAATTAACACTTCTAAAATAAAGTTTCACTATTATTACTAGTTTTTATTTTTTTTATAAAACCATGTTAGTCTAGAAAGTTTGAAGTGTGAATTAGAGAAAAAAGATGTTACTATGGGAAAAACATCCTTGAGCATTGTACTGAGAGATATAGGATTTAAATATAAAAAGGATGACAATCAAAGATCATTATTCGAACGAACTAATATAAATTCTCTCGTAAGTACTTTAAAAACCTGGAAAGTGTGCATCCAAAAGGACTCGTTTTTTTTATGAAACATGGATTTATTCAAAAGGAAATAAAACAACTTCCTGGCAAGACACTAGTAGCAAAGTGTACGTAAACCAGAAGGTTTTGACCCAAAATTTACAAAACCTGAATTATTATAAGTTGCAAAAATGAATAAAAAAGAAAATGTGTATGTTATTGATGAGTTACTAAGAGAGCATGGTCATGAAGTGTTGAGACTACCTCCTTATCATTGCGAATTCAACGCTATTGAATTAATTTGGGCAAATTGTAAGTCATATTACACTAAGCATATTGGTAGGGACGGCTATTCTGATAGTGTTGTTATAAATATGCGGAAAGAGGCGCTTAATCAATGTAATGGAGACATTTGGGGAAAATGTGTAAGACATACTCATGAAATTATTCAAAAGTGGTATGTCCTAGAGCAAAATATAGTTGATATTGATATTCAACCCATC